ATGGCTGTTGGCTAGTAGTGATATCCTACATGCAATTTTGATTGCATTTGCTACATATCTAGAGCACTGATAATTTGTTATGATTCCATCATACCAGTCACCTCTTTATAAAGAAAGAGATAATGCCAACATATACCACATACAGTTGACATCAGTTCCTTTGGACATGAGGCTTACTCTATCATATTTCTGGAGTACCATCATCAAGGCACTTAAGAGACTATCTATAACTGCCCTAAAAACTTTAATATGCATCACTAATCAGTACACTGCTGAGCTCTTTAGATAGGACAATACATAATAATGTGCCTCACATTTTCCTGTAAACAGAAGCAGCCTACAAGCCTCATAGCCTTGTTATAGCAAGATGTCAAAACACTGTTAATTAGCAGAAGACATAGTTTAGTCCTATTTCTCATACTCTTTACCTGAATCTAAACTGGTGATATGGAACAATAGTAATAGATGAAAAATAGTCTCCAAAGGATTAATTTTGATTATTTATCACCTGAACAAAATTTTGTAAACCAATGGCATGATGAGAAACAACACTAGGCTTTTTGCTGCCCTGTGCAATCTCTACGACTTATAAATTTTGTCATGCAGTATCTGCCTAAATTCTATGAAATTTGTTGTCCCTAATTTCTGCTACCTGGTACAACTACACTCACTCTAGAGCTGATCCATTTGCTAGCTATCTGTCCCACCAAATATTGAACTTATGTTTTAAGCTACTTCAGAGCTGAATGTTTAAATTTGAACTTATAAAGGAAAATTAGGCATATATGAAGAGAATGACTAGGGTAGTCTATATTTTGGGGTATCCCTTGGATTTAGCCAAGGATCAGGTTGCTGTTTCATTTATGGTAACATGAGTATATTATGGTGTATGTTTTGGAAACCCTATTATGGTGTGATTGGTTGTAATACATGATCATGCTGATTTTGATTGTTGGGAGAATATTTCTTAAGGCTTATTTCTGTATTGGATGTCTGTTAGGAAGTACTTTGCTTATCTTGTGCACAAAGTGGCTGTTGGTAGTAAGTTGGTAAGATTAAGCTGAAGTGTCTGTACTATTTGGAACGAATGGAAAAGAAAGCACTGATTGACAGCTGTGTAAATGAAGGTTTAAATGGCTTTGCTGACCTCTCAGTAAGTCACACAATGACATTTAAGAATCCAGAAGCCAGAGCTCATGTCAACACTACTGAAGGTATGCAGGATGTAATAAAAAGGGAGTTTTGAAAGAAATGCCACTGACAGCTTGGCATCACCGAGGGCATTTTTGATTCTTACTTTTGTCAATTTATATACAGACGGCAGTATATAGATTCTAGTTCAGATAATTTTAAACAGTTTTTGAATGCTGTTAAGGAATTCTGTGTCCGACACACCGAAGACACAGAAATTTTTGAATAAGGTAAGATGATATTTCACTTTTGTACTGTGCAATATTAGATAACACATATTTCCATTTTTGTGTTATTTCCTTGTTTTATTTGATTTAAAAAGCAGTTTATTGAGATTTATTGAGATTTTAATTTATTTATGTTTTTACTATGTTTTGGACACCATTTTACTTGGAAGGGCATTGAAAGTAAACAGGAATGGCAATAAAATTTGACAATTTTTGCTAAGGGGACTCTGAAACATATTTGTCCTGATGAATGTTCCATGATGTTCTTCTTTAGGTGCAAAAATCATTCTCACCCAACACTGATTTTGTATTCTGACACAGAAAGAAAATGACAACAGAATATTTTCTTTTTCTTTCATTATACTTATTAAACATTCATCAAAGACTGAGAAATTTCAATATAAAACTTTCTGTTTGTATCCAAATGAAGCATAAACGTCAAATTAATTTGCAACACCCAAGAAAATTTGGTTATCTTCAGATTATGGTAACTTGGCGATTTTTTGGCGACCAACCCTGCTACAGCAACCTGCTAGTTTTTTTTTTTTTTTTTTTTGGACGGCCAATTTTGTCTTTCACGAAGTAAAAAGGCAGGTTTCTTTTCTTTTTACTTCCTGAACATTTTTTCCAACAATCTGCTAGCCAAATTACGCTTATGCTAGAAACTTTTTTGGAATCAAAAGTGCTTAATCATGACGAATATTAAGGTGCGAAATTGGGAGAACAGTGCAGAATCGTCAAACTCCTTGGCCTGCGTTTTTAAGAATTGCACATACACGGTATCCATGTACATGTCGACCTATTTTCACTTAAAAAAACATCTCAGAATTGCACAAAAAATGGCATTGCGCGCACATTCTTGACTTTATCCATGTACACTGCTAAAGTCCTAGCTAGTAACCTTTATCGCCTTACCAAAATGTCCCCAAACTACCTGTTACCATGTTCTAAAGATTAGCCGAAAATTCTTAAAAACTAAACTCTGTTTTTGTATATGAATTCTAAACTTCTCTTTACTTCCGATACATACAAAACTTTTAATATCATTAAATTTGCGTCCAAAGCTTCAAAAAGGGTCAATTATGCAGTTTTCAAAATTAAATTCAAATAACAATCATGAAATTAAATACAGTAAAAGCTTGGTTATCCACAAAGTTAAAGAAGGCCAAATGCCACATATGTGAAAATTTTAAACAGTTAATACATAAAAAAATGTAATTTATGGTAAAAAAGACAAATAATAGGAAACAAAATTTCCAGACTAAAATTATAAAAACAATCACATTATTTGTTATCAGCTTGAATATCAAATGCTTACATTTAACATTATGTAAGATTTTGGAAAAATGTACATTTCAGATGTAAAAACTAATATACTTTCATAGGCCTTAAACATGAAAGTAAAACAAATCCCATTTTGAAATCCCAATGACCATGACACTTGGTGAAGATCCAGGCAAATTTGTGCCAGTCATTTCAGTAGAAATTTGAAAGAACTGATCGCTCTTTAGTCAGATAATCAAGAAACAGAGGTTACAAGAAAAGCATGGGAGGAAAAAAACTTAAATCAGTTATCATAGTTTGTCATGTTTTGTATACAAATTTTTCGGCTCTAGTGTAGAATTGGGTGCCCCTTCGATTAGCGACAAATTGTGGCGATGAAACCTCACTTCTGGTTACCATGATAGTTTTAACTTCATGACTTTTTTTTAATGAAAATAGATTGATGTGTACATGGACTAAGTTATGACAGTGTGCAATGCCTAGTTTGTGCAATTCTCTGACGTTTTTTAAGTGAAAATAGATCGATGTGTACATGGCCAGAGAGTTTGTGCAATTTTTCTAATTCTTATTTTGGTTTTGTGTAGCAGCCATCTTGAAATTATGGATTCCTGGCATCAAAAAAGAATCGCCAAAAAAACAAGGGGCACCCAATTGGAAACTTTTACCCAATTTTCCAATAAAGTTGCGTATCGTGCCCATTAACACACATACTTTATTGATGCTACGATTACATAATTGCAATACTTTATAAGTATTCCATTGCATGCTATTCGGTTTTGAGCAAGTCTCAAATTTTTTAACTTTTTTTTACAGATAAAACAGCAGTGAACTTACATCCTTCTTCACTAAAAAAAACCATGAAACTAAAAGTTAATTGTATTTACATAAAACCAAAGTGATCTTGTAACAGTCCAGTATTTTGGCATTATGCTTATCTGTTACTGGAGCTAAATCACAGTATTCAGTGACAGTTTTTGTTTTCCAAATCCTACAGTTGTTTCATGATTGTTTTACAAATTTCTTATTTGCTTAATTTTTTGTACACACACACACACACAACACAAAAAAAAAAAAAAAAAAAAAAAAAAATTTTGGTTACTTGAGCTTTCTGGTTAGTTTAATGCTATATAGTTGGTCTTCTACTGTAGTTAAATTTAGGAAATAATAATTAAAATCTTAAGACATTTGAATTGAAACAAACAAAAACCGAACACATTTAAGATTATTATGCAAAAGTATTACAATACATTTATATATCTATTTCTTAAAGTAAAGACTGGTGATCTTTTAAGCTTTTTTTTCAAATGAAGTCACTTGCTTTCATAATAAAACGACTATTTACCTCTAAATCAATAAAACAATGAAAGCAGATTCAAAAATAAAGCTTTACAGAATAACTACTTCAAAGTTAATTTTTTCCTATCATTTGAGTTGAATAAGATTTTCCTGTGACAAAATAGTACCTTCTAACAGGTTACAGAAAAGATGAAGTACACTGTAAGGAATCATGCAGTGGTAATATTCATAACGGCAATTGTCGAAATGAAATAGTATACCTGAAAATTTAATCCTCATTTTATTGATTTTACATTCTTGGTCTTCTTATTTCTATTCCAGTATGGGTGTTAAATTCACACTGGTGTAAATTTTATAATATATTCCACAAAAAAAAAAAAACAAAAAAAAAAAAAAAAAATTTATAATTTTCTTTTTCCTTAATTTTACACTTATACTTGAGTTATTCAAAAATGCAAATCTCAGAATTTTAAGACGTAATGGAAAGCATTTGATGTTATTCAGCAAATTAAAAACTCTTTCTTTCATAAAAACATCTACAATAACAGCATAAGTTCTGTTTTCGAAACTCAATGATCAAATCCCATGAATCCTAAGTAAATTATTCACTAGGAGCACACGAGTTTGAAGAAATAAGACAGAAATAGGACATTTAACAAACCTTAAAGTAAATGAAAGAAAGAGGGAGGAAAAGGATGGGAAAAAATTAGCAGTCATCCATTTTCTTTAAAAATTTCACATTAACTCAATTATTACATAGCAGGAAGCTTTCATGCCTTAAATTTTTATGACTTTTTTTTTTTTTTTTTTTTTCCATGACAGCATCTAGTGACTTTATAGTTAATAAAGTTTAGAAAAATAATGCTTATTATGCATCTTAAACACACAATAAGTTCCCTTTAGGAGATGGAGAAATATTAGATAGCATCACACATAGAGGCATAAAAAGAGAACTGATGACAGTCAAATGCACTTTAAAATTAAACTTGAAACGTGTCTTACTTGTTCTACCCAAAACTCTTTAGAGCTGATATTCCAGAAGATGCAGCTTCTACTCACATTCCAAATCAGTTGAAATTTATTTTTAAAAGAATCCCTCTGTATTTTATTATAAATTATGAATCAACATGTAAATATAATTAACGTTTAAGATCATCTCAAGTAATAGCATATGCAAAAGGCATTTTTCTAGCAATGGCGCCATAAGGTTTAACTTAAGAGAGGTAAATTTAATTTTCTGTTTATCTAATGTAGCCAATTACTATAAACAGCTGACCAAGTTACCACTTCTTTCAACGCTACTAATTAAGTAAGAAACTATTAGGCAGGAAAATATCATGATCGATCATTCTTTAAATGGATCTTTCTACTATTGACTGCGAAGCATAATCACGCAGTAAAACATAGACAGATCCATTAAATAGTTCAGTCCATCAAGATTTTAATAACCAGACGAACCACAACACAGTATCGCTGACTGAGCTTCGAGATTTCTAAGAACATGCATTCAAAATCGATGAGATAATTTTCTATATCGATGATGTGGAAACTACGATTAAAAGATAGTTTTTAGCTTGTCATATAAGTTGCGCACAGTTTCTCTTCGCTACGTGTAAGCATGTCAGTTTGTCGTTTCGTGATTATAATTTACATTTGTGCGAGCTAGTCAAACATGATTTCTTGTACTGGTCATGTGTGCAGTCTATATTGCGATCCTTTCTTAAAGTGTGTTACGAAGAGAAGATCATCTCAAGAAGATCTGTCTGGTATTAAATGTGCATGAAGTCATATTTCTGAATGGAAGATGATGACACACGTGGATAAGTCTACGGTCACGTCATTATAGAGAAAAAGTCTAAGTTAGGTTATTTTGATTATGGCAAAGTATATGGGGACCTACCTGTTTGCTGAGGAATGCCTTCTTAAGGGACCTAGCTCATACTCATTTTACATATGGGCAAAATGACGAAAACCAATCATGCAGCCAGCCCATTCACCTGGGTTCGAACTCAGCTTGATCTACTGTATTTAGCGGCTTTAACCTCTCAGCCGCTGGTGGAAACCCGAGAAGAAGACAAAAGATAGTTTATCTGAAAAATGATCGCACAGAAACTGCTTTAACTAAGTGCTGCACAAATTAAAAATAGTCCGTATTATATCAGAAATACAAGGATTCTAAATGCACTTAAAGCTTAGCCAATACGAAACTTTTTTTCCAATTTATCTGGCAGATGTCATCACAAGCATCTTCAAAACTATAACTGCCACGCGGATAAGTACCACTTTCATCGTCGTGTGCAGCAGCGTCTTCTTATGGCATGCGTTGCATTTGGCCCATGCTTATATAAGCATGGTGTAGCATCTGATTTCTACTATGCTACACGTCAAAAATGAATGAATGAATGCTACACGTCAAAAATTTGACGTGACGGGAATGCTGTAGCATCTAATTTCGAGAGTATCAGTACTCTTATACCTGAGAACCTCTGTGAACGAGAGTAGAGGAGAATGTAATGTAACTGCGTAAACAACGTATCGCTGCTGTAATGCTCTGAATCAAACCCATTCTGAACCTCCAACAGAGATTACAAACGAACTTCATCTTTTATTTGCAAAAGCAATTAATCAACTTCGTGAACAAGATGTGAACAAGAACAATGCACAAGCTGCTCAAACTATCAACGAGCTTAAAACTAATAATGATCAACTTCAGAAACAAATTCAAGACTTAAAACAATTCTGCGAATCCATACAAAATGGAGGAGCTTTTTCTAAACAAAGAAAAATACATCATAAACGATCTACCGACTCTTCATGTAGTGAAAATGAAGACAGTAATTTAAAAATTAAAAATAAATTTCAACCCTTGCAATCAAACGATGATACCATGCAACTTGAAGAATCTGCGGATAATGTGGAACCAACTATCAGTCAGCAAGGTAAAAGTGCTTCTACATCTAAAATAAATAAAAAGAAATCATCAGAGAACAAACAATCAACAGAAGGACAATCTCGTAATAGCAATAAAGTCCCACCCATTATAGTGGATAACGTGACTAAAGCTGACGAGTTTCTTTCTAATTTAAGCAAATAAACTGGCAAAAAGATTATGGAAACACTTAAAGGTGAAAAATTACATATTGAGCTCCCTCATATTTATACTCAGCGCTACGTCCGAAAAATAATTGAATAAAACTAAACTAAAAGCTCACACTTTAAAACTACCAGATGACAAAGTGCTTAAAGTCGTTATCCGAGGTTTACCAACTACGATGAACACTAACTATATCATCCAAGAATTAAATAACCAAGGATTTAAAGTTAGCTATATAACTTTAATGCGTAATAGAAAAGAAAATAAACCAATGCCGCTCTTTTTAATTCACATTCAAAAAACGGACTCTTCCACGAAAATCTTTGAGTTAAAACACATCGGACATATGAATGTATCGGCTGAATACTTGAAACGGAAGACCTGCCCACCCAGTGCTACTGATGTGTCAGCAATTTTTTCATAGTTCGCTTCTGTGTACTAGATACTGGGTTTGCGTACGTTTTGGAGATAAACATGAACCCAATAACTTGTGTTGACAGAATAACCATGAACGTGTTATCCTGCAAAGGGCCAGATTGTCCTGCAAATTTTCTCGATGCCCAGAAAAACCTTAACAAAATAGATAAAAATTTACTCCCAGCCAACCTCCTATCTGAAATCCGTAGAATCTGCATAAAAAAGATTTCTCTTCTCTCAACACAATATCCAGAAAATAATCAAAATGCGCACATCGTTGAACCCAAAGAAGCAAATAATTCGCTCTCAGAAATTTTCACTCTTGGATCTTTGAAAACTGTATGGACTGAACAATAGACCGAAGGCCTAAAAGAAATGAAGAAACAAAAATCTGCTATTGACAAAATCGGCATCATAGTTAACACCATTGATAAAGTCTGCAGTTACATTTCATATGCATAAAAACGTCAATATGAGAAGCTTCAAAATTATTTCCTGGAATGCAAATGACTTAAAAACAAGAAAGGATGAATTGGATGATCTTATTCTTGAATTAGACCCGAATGTTCTGTTAATACAAGAGACTCACTTACAACCTGCTAACAAAGTACTTTATGCAAATTATGCTACTTTCAGATCTGACAGAACTACAGGGCAAGGAGGTGGAATTATTACCTTCGTTAAAAGGAGTATACAGCATCAACTTAACAAAACCTATCTACTTCTTTTGAGAGTAATTCAATTGAAATCGAATTTGAATTTAACAAATTCATAATCTCCAATATTTATATTCCACCGAATCATGGACCAATTATGGCTAAAATTGAACATTTTTTGGACTCTAACCATCCCTCTCTTGGTAGGTGGTGGATTTTAATGCGAAACATCAATGTTGGAATTCTGGCGCAAGCAATAGAAAAGGTACTGAAATTTTCAATTTGATCCAGGATAAAATTATGTTATACATGCTCCTGATAAACCAACACTTTTGGTTACCATAGCTCCTCCATCATTAACTTTTTTCTTTCAAATAACCTCAGTTACAATAGTCAAACTTCTGTTATTCCTGCTTTATCTTCTGATCATAATCCTATCTTGCTTGAAATTAATATCAACTGCTTTCCTTCCTGCATTAGGTTGCAGCACTGGAATTTACCAATTCGAATATATATTCTCAAATTCTAACAGGAAACTATACCAGGAAATTCTTGCATTAGCAGTAAAGAAGCCTTGGATACGGAAATTCGAAATTTTGCCTACAGTGTTGAACAAGCTTTAAGTTCTGCTACGAATAAATTCATCGGTAATCATCATTTTCTTCCTCTTTCGAATAACATCAGGTAGGCGAAATATTAAATATAAAAATCGCAATCCGGAAATTATGGCAATCAACTAAGAGACCCAAGAATTAAAGCTCACTTAAACGCTCTTCAAAGGACCATTAAAAACATATCAGGGAATTTAAATCTCAACGATGGAGCAACTTCTTAAACACTCTTGCTACTGAAGACAATTCCCACTATTACATTGCTCGTAAATTCAAAAAGCCTTTCAAGCAGATTACTCCACTTCATGGTCGCAATGGACTTGTTTATTCTGATGAAGATAAAGCCAATACTTTCGCTGACATTCTAGAAGATACCTTTACTCCCAATGCTTCCTAATATGATAATGATCATATCACCAAAGTCAATAGCACAATATATTCTTTCCTGAATAGCCCTGGACCACCTAATTTCCCTTTTCCTGCTTCTCCGAGAATTGTTGCGGATTTTATTAGCTCTTTAAATAAAAACTAAAAAAGCTGCTGGATGTGATGGCATTTCTTCCAAAGAACTCAAGCATCTTCCAATTAATGCAATTACGTACTTAACTATAATAATTAACTCAGTTATCAAGCTCTCTTACTTCCCAAAAGTATGGAAACATGCAGTTGTTGTTGTCTTCCCTAAGCCTCATCAAAGTTCTACCTTTCCTCAAAATTATCGGCCTATCAGTTTACTTAGTCCAATTTCTAAAACTGCTGAAAAAATTATTCTGTTTTATATTAATCGAATCATGCCTCCTAGCTCTTATACTCCTGATGAACAATTTGGATTCAAACATCTGCGCAGCACCAATCATCAGCTTCTCCTCGTTATCAATTACATTACTGATGGATTCAATTGAAAATTTTCTACCGGCGCAATTTTCTTAGATATTGCCAAAGCCTTTGACAGAGTGTGGCACCAGGGACTTATATTCAAACTAATTCAGCTCAATTTTCCGAACCACTTTATTCGACTTATTGCCTCTTACCTCAGAAATCGCACTTTTGATGTCAAAGTTGGAAATACCCTCTCAACTACTAGAAATATCACTGCAGGTGTCCCTTAAGGCTCCGTTCTCTCTCCCTTTTTTACAATATTTATACTCAAGACATTCCAAAAGAATCTCCTGTTACTATCGTCTTATTTGGCGATGATACCGTTATCCTATCTCAAGCTTCAACCATCAATACTATACAAATTTTTGTACAAAACTAACTGGAGCTTCTTCAAAAATGGATGATGCTGTGGAGAATTGCCAGTTAACACTGACAAAACCAAAGTCATTATTTTCAGAAAAGGACAAGCAAACTTCCTTCCTGCCTAATTCCATCTTCATTGACGACGAATATTCAGTGGACGGATCAAGTGAAGTATCTCGGAGTCACATTTGATAAAAAAACTATTTTCAGCAACATTTACACAAAGCTGCCAGGTAATTCAATATCTCAATACCTACTATGCGTCCTCTCTTCAGCAGACATAGCAATCTGACTATCAACAATAAGCTTACAATAGTTTAACTTGTTAAGCAACAAGTCCATCCAGACGTACTTTACTTTAAGCCAGTCCGGTATGGAGACACACCACTAAAACCCACATAAAAAAAAAAAATCCAAATTATTCAAAACAGAACCCTTCATGAAATTATTAATGCATCCTGGTTCATC